ATTAGCATATTTAATTGTAGCTGACACTGTTCTGTGCCTATAATCAAAAAAATGCCAATGTATTAAAAGGACCACCTACCTACATGTTTGTAAATACAAAGTTTCAGGATTCATGGCAGAAAAGGTCTTACATACAGCTTTGGCCAGAAGCTAACAGAAACTGATAGTTTCCAAGAATGTCAGATTATTATTATTTAAACGGTTCTTTTCAGGGTGGAGTGATTATACATCATCCAACTATGATAAAATATAATTAGGTCCACAAATTATTTTGTTTATGGATTTTCTCTAATGGATATATGGTCATAAGTATACATACTGGCTCAAATATATGTATGTATATACACCCACTACTATATCAATAATAGCCCACCAATCTGAAATCCCAACAAGGTACTGAATGACCAAATTCCTTTTTTCTTTTTTTTTAGCCATCAGGAAACGTCTACAGTAGCTTAGCAGAAATAAGAATTTGTTTATCTAACAAATTTTGAAATGTTAGATAAACAATTTGGAACTGTTTATCTAACACTAATCGAATCTAAAACAAGTTAAATTTTAAATCAATTAATTGGCTGAAGTTTAAGACATTCCATAAGCTTAATTTTAGCCAATTTTACTCATTCCAATACCAGTTTTGATGTGTGCTTGGACAATGTAGTAGTCGTGTACATGACCGTCCAAGTTTTTACCAATTATAGTTGGTGATTTGACGTTAATTTCCCTTATTCTGATTGAAAAGAATTCATAGTAAAGTGGTGTGCAAAAATTCTTGTCTTTTTTAGACCTTATCAAAATTGTGTCGTATAAATGTTTCACCCTGCAAAAGGAGCTCTTTAAATAAGTCATTAATAGTCCAGAATTAATGGAAATCAAGACCAATGTGAGGGATGTACACTCCCCACTGCATCTATAATCGTCTTGAGATTTCTGCAAAGAAGTAAACAGACTGTATACACACATATACGCAAAAAAGTTCTGACTTGAGGGCTGACACGTTCTTTACGTCACTAAGTATTTATTGTAATGGCAGTAAAGCCAAAACAACATTTTGTGGCTTGATTAATACTTTTGTACTTCCCCTGATGTTCCGCTTCTGCGAAAGGTTTCTAGGAGCTGTTCTTTTTGTATTCCTGGTAATCAATTTGTGTATTTTGCTGCAACAAAAATGCTCCCATTAAAAAGAATTAGCGGAAGCATCTGAAATATTCCAGGATCTTCTCTGCAGCCCAACAAGATGCCTCTCATGCGCTAGCAGTCATGTGATTTTTTTCACTGTAAAAAAACAAACTGTTTTTTTACAGGGGTTTTTTTTTTTTTTTTTTTTTAAAGAGGCGACTTGTTCGCCCCCGTTTTGCCTTTTTTTCCCCCCACT